GTTATATTTTTTCAAATATCATGGCCTACATTAAGAAAAGCTTGATTGCATAACGATTAGAAAATGGGGTGTACGATAAACTTACCTCCACGTGGTGCACCCTGGGCAACGTATACTCATACGGCAAAAAAGTCTATTAACTGGCAGTTGACCTCTGAATTCGAACCACCGTGACCCCACTGTATGTCATATTCGACCCCTTCCACAGTACTCATCTAGCCTTTTCTCTTCCTTTGTGTCTGTCTGTCTCTTTTACATCTGTGAATCGCTCTTCTTTCCCCCTGTCGAATTTTTCTCACTTTAATGTTTCCTCCCTTCTGTGAAGCCCGAAGTCAACTGAAGGGCTAATGATAAATACCAAAATGCCTGCCATTTACAATAAATAAATAAATGATTAGAAAATTCTAGGTATGATTCCAGTCCATGAGGTTCAAGCCTCTATCACCTCTCCGACTTAGCATTAATAAATTTATTCCCGTTCGATGCACAAACATAGATATTACCAGTGATAAATGAAGTACCCAATTCGGGATGCAAAAGAGCTGGGAAACCAACCTGGATAATATTTAATTAACTATGTAAAATAGGGACCTATTTGCGCGACTAATATCTCATTCATTGCATGCACCAACTAGTGGGAAACCAACCAAGAATGGGATACATTTTGAAGTTAGAAAATAGACCTCTCCATAGAGGCTAGCGTGTGGTCTATAAAATCATACGTAAGATGTATGACCCTATTTATGCCAAGTTCTCGAAAAACCAAATACACGCTGTGAATTTATGCCCCGCTTGAGAAACTAAGTGATCACTCGATGAGCATTTCAATTTGCATTTTTGCTGATAAAATGCAAATTTACGGTGTAAATTTATACTATTACAAGGGTGCAAGACAGCGACAGCTAGGAAAAGTGCCGCGCCAGTAGCCGTCTTTCAGAATATGCTAATTACATATGCTAATTATGCTGCGACATGTTCTAATCACCTCTAATACCCAGAAAAAAAGTAAAGAGCATGAAAGTGCAAGAAGGCAATAAGAGCACTCTGACTCGCCTTTCCATTGAGCCCATCATCTGGATCTACAGCATTAAGATGACCATTCACTTTTGAGTGCTTGGGCTGATTCTCCGAGAGGTAAAATGGACCAATATCCGTGAAAGACGGGGCGTTATCATTCTCATCTATTAAGTAGACAGTGACGGTAGCTTGAGCAGTATGAACAACGCGATTGGACTTTTGACTATCGCCTTTCCCCCCATCAGTCACTCGCTCAGGTTTGGCGTCTCTGACAAAAACAAAGAATGTGATTTCGGGGGTCATTTCACGATCCAGTCGACTCATTTGATACACGTCTCGCTCCATGGTTGTGATCTTTCCTGTTCCAGGATCAATCTTAAAGTAGCGATCATCATCTCCTTTGAGACTGTATTCCAATTGTGCTGATTGGTCTTCATCCCTCGCGATAACCTGTAATTAATTACAAAAGGGCAGTTATCTCTTAGCTGCTTAAAAGGGAGCTAATTAACAACTAGAGCAGAATTCTCAAAATTCTTTTATTATTCATAAGCTATTCTCAAGGGAAATTTGTAGGAAACAAATTACCAACTCGATGAGACAGTTCTGTTTAAAAGTAACAAGTTAAATAAAAGCCCAACGAGAGAAACTAGATCTATTACCGAATCCAACGTCCCTGATAGTTTGGGATCATAGAGATCTTATCACCTTGGTAGTTTGACCTGAGATTGCTATCAAATTCAGTGGAACGGAAACACGCCAGACAGAGGCGGGTAAGGACAAGGGGTGGGGCGATGTCATCTACGTCAGTAATCGGCAGGTGAGCGGTTGACCTAGATGTTTGTACAACTACATTTGGTGATGACTATCTATCCCTGTGCTCAGGTTCTTTATTTAGCCCAAGTCAGTCATGCGGACCAGAGGTGAGCTTCCGACACAAGGCGCATCTGCTACAGTAGGTCTGATGAGGGTTGTTGTAACCCCAAAGGATGGAACAAAATGCACAGACGAAAAAGCAAGTTAAGTATTTTTTCCAAGTCCGGAAAACAGAGCACTCGATAAGAAAAACCATCCGCACGCATCTGGAAAATGCCTTTATTGAAGAAAGATAGGATTCTTCTCTCCACAAACCTCCCTTTTTTCCTTTTTTATAAGGAAAATGCGCATTTATACGCAAATAGAAATGAGTCCTCTAGCAAGCGTTTTGAATAGCAATTAACGCATCAGACATAGAGAAGGATTTCAAGTTCAATTGGACCACCCAAAGGCCTGGCTTTCGCTCCAGCTACTTCTTTCCCAACTGGCATCAGCATCTCCATCCCATACTCAGAGGCAACGACCGCACACACACACATACGGGTAGAAAAAAGATAGACGCCAAGAAAATAATTAATTTAATTTAGATTGTCGGAATACATCTTCCCCCCCCCCCTCTTAACTAAGGTGGCTGAAATTCGTAAAATATCAGACAAGATCTTTCTACTAGACATCGGTGACTCATGTCCGATAGCAAATTTTAAAAGACAATCGTTCCCGTTAGTAATATAGTTCGCACGTAGTTTTGACCATGAACGTGTTCACCACAAAAGTGAGCATGATTATTGGACAGTTAATAGGCGACCTACCTGAAGAACAAAAGTATTGTTTGGAGCGTTTTCTGTGATCCTTGCAGTGTAATCCTTCTTCAGGAACACAGGTTCAAATTCATTTTCATCCTCTATACGCACCACAATAAGTTTTTGAGTAGTTTTAGGTCGTGGTGTGCCCTTGTCTGTGCAAGTTACATTTACGAAAATGATAGGCTCAACTTCAGCATCGAACTTGCGTAGACTATGGAGAGTGTACACAGAGGAGACCAGGGGTTTTAACTCGAAACTGCCATCGGGGCTGTCTAGACTGCAGGAAACTTGACCATTATCGCCTAGATCTCTGTCGTCGACTTTTAGCGTAACAATCTTGGTTGGAGGTGAGTTTTCAGGCACCCAAACTTCGGAGCCTTCGGGGGGAATTACCATTTGAATATCCGGAGCGAAGTCATTTATATCTTCAACTCGAACGTTAACGGTGACTGTGTTTTGACGCTGAAGGTCGTTGTAGGTGCCCTCGGGTGCAGAATCGGAAACATCTCTGACTCGAACTTTAAAATGGTAATTTAGCTGAGCATCAGCTTGAAGCCTGCGGGCTAGGGATATAGCTCCAGTGAGTGGATCCAAATGGAAGTAAGTAGGAATTGAAGGGTCTCCAGACCCATCGAACTCAAAACGCATTCGAGCATTTGGCGGTGAATCATTATCCGTTGCATTGAGACGTAAAATTATTTTCCCACTTGGTGTGTCCTCGGGTAAGGACAAGCTATATTCCAGAGGGGGGTGGAAGAATGGAAGATTATCATTAACGTCAATTACATTAATCGTTAAAGGGGTAGTGGTACAGTTGTGCCTATCACAAGCCTCAAGAGTACCCTCATATGTCGATTGCTTTTCATAATCCAATGGTTCTCGAAGCCGCAGTTCAACGCGAGGTAGATTAGAATTGTCAATGTCAAAGTATCGTTGAATATCAGATCCATGAAGAGCGTACCGTTGGATCTGATTCTCCAGTGACCAGTCGCCGTCATCGGCAGGTTCAATGCTAATGGAAGTTCCGATCACGGCCTTTTCATAGATTTGAACCACCTGTCCATTGGGTTTACGAAATCTTGGTGCGTGATCATTAGTATCCATAATCCGGATCCGAAGCTGAATCTCAGCCAAATTTTCAAATAGCGAATTTTCAACCATTACTGTGTAAGAGAGTTGACAGGGTTTTGAATTGCTACAACAAATAACCCTCTCCTGGCAGAGTGATTCCAAGTCGATGGGCCTAGCAACCACGACTTTTCCATTTCTCTCGATGTTAAATAATGAGTCGGCTTTAAGCATTCCAATGTAGGTAGTCTCACGAGCACCAGCACTATATGATGTGGCTAGAGATCCAATGGTGCTACCGACTTCAGTACCCTCGGAAGCATTCATCACGATCTCATTCTTCTTAATTGCATGGCTTGCCGTCGTGAAGATAATCGTTAAGAGGAGACACATAGCAAACGCCATGACTAGCACGACAAAGCGGGCCAAAATGTGACACGAGATATGGGTGTCGCATTTGTGTCATCATCATCCAAACTGCACATACGGACGCACACTTAAAAAGTGCGTGCGTATATGCATTTCCGTTCCGTCTATTGGCTTGTGAATCCCGTCCATCTCATACGCGCGCACACAAGTCAGTGCTATAGTTCTCCTCTTAACCAATCAAATTTTACTTTATTTTTCCTATAGCATACAGCAACTGTTCCATCTTCTTTGTGGATGTTCTCTCTACTTTTAATTTACTTTATTTATTTTCTCCCTAAGCCAACTAATTTCTCTCGATTGGATTGTGGATAATAGCAAAACTTTTATAATTTTTAGTTAGGCTAAAGGTTAGGGTAAAATGCAACCAAAAATAAATTCATATGTTATAGTAAGTTCCCTGTTGATCGGTTGAAGTTGAATTTAAAGGATTTGCAATCTATTCTTTATTTTGTTCGTGCTAACTTTGGAGAAATGCCTAAAATTACAGGATCTCATTAGGCATTCTCGAGCTCATTTATTAACTCGAGTAATGCAAGTTCAATGTTCTTTGTTGAAATGAGTCGTCAACAACACCAGTTAATTGGAATAAACTGAAGGATTTAGAAAAGACAACTTCCTTAACAGAGTAGCTTCAAAATGTGTCACTTCTTCCCATATCAACTATTGTTTATTCCTTCTTCAGTCTTTTTGTGTAGTTTTGATCTTAATTAATCGCGACCCACAATTTGATTTCCAACCCTCCGTTGAAGGTTGGAATAGATGGCTGAAATAACCAACAAAAACAAATGAATATGCAGAATCTACTTATTAATTAGTGCTCAAATTGCTCCTATTGGTTCCAGAACTCATTTAGATTTGTGACAGATGTGCAGTCTACCGCGCACCCCCACCCTATCCTCCCCCCCCAGTCTTATCAAGGTTGTCGGAAGTGATCCCAACGTGCTGGCTTTCACACTAAGGGTACGCGTTACTTGCTGCAATTTTTCGGCCCAGCAGAAACCTGAACAAAACCCCAGCAAGAAAAAGTAAACACAATGGGACCAATTTTTTAGCTGAAGTGGTTTAAAGCATTGTGTGTGGGTCACAGTTAAGGTCACTTTTGCATGCATTTTCATGGTCTTAAGGTCAGCAACGAATTAGTCACCAGAACTGTACAGCCGACCAATAGTGCCCATCTGGCATAATGCATGTAGTTAAATTTCTCTATCCAAAATGCAAAATTTGGTAACAGCTGTGCTGTGATGGTGTCGTATAATTATTATTTTTGCAAGACATTATAGCATTAAAACAAACGCAAAAATAAATGCACCGGATACTTCAGAAATCCTCTGCTCCCCCCCCCCCCCCCCACCTCCTTCCCACCATTTAATGGGCTTCAAAAGTGGACTATATCACTCTTGTGGATTGATAGTGTGGTACAATGATAAAAAGGCAGAGGAAAAACCTGCGTGCAAACATGTTGGAAGAGCAAAAAGTAAGAGAGATGACGGATAACTTTTATTTCCGTACCGCAGCAACACAGGCATGCCCGTAGGCCTCCGGCTGGAGGGGTGTTTTTATTAAAAAAAGAGAAGAAGGTGTTACTAAGCTATCTGAATCACAGATGCACCGACCGATTAGGGGCGGAAGAGAAGGAGGAGGAGGCGGAGCAGGAGGAGGAGGAGGAGAAAATGGAAAGTGGGACCTTGAGAAATGTCACTAAATCCGGTCGGATTTTGAATGTGCCCTTTACTGGAATTGCCTAGGAAAGAATAACGAATGCACTCTCTGCTTAAGTTAAAGTTTCGATGGATTAGCAACAGGAATTTCTCTTAGGTCGTTCTAAATCCACTACACACCCCATTATTCATTCATGAAAATGAATTTTAAGGCTGTTTGGGGGGAATTTTTTATTCCTATTTTATCTTCTTGCATTCTTGCTTTTCGTTTCCTATTTTCTTGGTAAAGCCAACATTTATTCTTCTGAACGCTTTTAACAAACTTTGGACATTTCTCATTACCGGATCGCGGTTAATTTAGAGGGCATTTCTCCAAACCTCGAGCTACAATTAGCAAAAGTGGACACAAACACTTTAAGGTTACAGGATTCCAAATCAGTAGCATTACTTTATCACATCACAAAGACTAATCTTAGTTCTTTTTTTCTGCAAACAAGACTATTTTATTGTTTAGTCTTGCGGATGATAATTACTCCAAAGACACAAGGAAAAAGCATCGATTTTTTTCCTACCAATTCATTTAGTTCTGCTTACATCAGACCGTTCCACTAAGTCTTCGTTCGCTTTCTGGGAATTCACAAACGCTTATATAATACTGATTTCTGCTAATAGCAAATGCGATCATTATATATTACTATAACGTTTGAAAAGGGGAGTGAAATTTATGATCATATGATTTGGAGTGCGTAATAGACTTACCTCCACTTGGTGCACCCTGGGCAACGTATACTCATACGGCAAAGAAAGTCTATTAACTGGCAGTTGACTTCTCACTTCAAACTACCATCACCCCACTATATGTCTTATTCCACTACTTTTGCGTCTGCTTCTTTTACATCTTTGAAATATTCTTCCCTTCCCCCCCCCCCCTCCTCTCGCCTTTTGTCACTTTGATATTCCTTCTCCCCTCTGTGAAGCCTGAAGTCAACTAAAGGGCTAATGATAACCATGAAAACGCCTGCCATTTGGTATAAATAAATAAATGATCATTTGATTTATAATATTGGAGCATTACACAATTCAAATAGCAGAAAATGGATTTTTGAATAAGTTAGGTTATTTCGTACTACAAGTAGACCACAACAAATTTTAAATAACCGTTCTTTAAAGTGAAAGGTCTAAATCTTGTCAGAATGGTTAATTTATCCTCATATTTCGAATTGGCAATGGAGGCAAGTTGCATTGAAAATACGGAGGAATGCGGGCCAAAGTCTAGTACAATAAATTGAAACTTGGAAAGAATGCTTAATGAGTATCAAAGTTTTTAGTGTTTTGACGGCAGAGTCACCAGTCTTGACTAAAGCATTAGTGAAATCTGAATTTCAGCATAGAATGCCTCTAAATTGCAACATCATTCCCCCCTACCCCTCCCCCTCCCCCACCCAACCTCCTCGGTTAATGAATTAATGGAAGGTGTACACTACTTCTCGAAAGTGAGGTTTTGATAAAACTCCTAAAATATTCCAACTTCATAATGAACAAAAAGACAATATCTTGAGCGAATTTCAAAAGGATTCTCTTACTACTTCGGTACTCCCAAGGTGTAATAGTAGCACTAGATCCATTTACCTTTTTGGCATTGATTCTGCCTGTCTTGTAGTCGCATTTACTCTATGATATGGCGAATTAACGGAAGCCAACTCTTTTCCAATCCCCTTTAAGTATGAGCTTAAGTCGAGATCCTTCTCTTGAGTGATCTCAGCGAGAAGCATCTACTTATTTCAATATCAATAAGTAGCAGCAAATGATACAATTAGGAAAAATGTAAGTCGTCAAACCCCCCTCCCCTGCTAGCATGTAGCTAGCAAACGTCAACTTGAAGACCTCGGCTGAGATCGTAATTTTTATAAATCAGTTAGGCAAAGAATGGAAATAAATCGTTGAAATGCCTCAATATTCTAAATGTCTGTGCAAGGATAGTATAGACTGCATCATGCGAAGAGGCGAATGCATAGCTGAGAGGCAATTTTTTGTGGAGGAAGGGAAATGTGGTCTAATCAAGGGGTATTCGGAATTTCTCCTTTTATTACTACTCCGTCCAAATGAATGTGGCTTGTAGATAATTGTCGCTTCCTGCGATTTTCTTCAAAGAGACCCATTTTGAGGTTTTTATCAACGATATATGGTGCTGCAAGCATCGATGCACCGTCAAGATCGCTTGAACTTACAACTTTCTAAAGTCTTCCTACACATAGGAAATTATGGGAATTGGTTTTTTGTTCTTTTTTCTTCCATACATTAGCGGTCGATTTTCTACTATCAGGAATTCGTTAAGATCATTTATCGTTGAAACATTAATTAATTAATTGAACATGCAACACATAATAACTGTAAAAGGAGCAGTGAATGAAGTTGCAACAGAGCTGTTTTAAATTAATCGATTTTAATAGTAATGGCAGTTAAAATTTGTTCGATTAAAGAGCCATGTACTCATTAGCTTAATAAGCACGGTAGTCTACCAATAAGGCATTAAGATACATATAACCACAATGCCATAACAGCGACGGCTCTGGAAACGGTGCTTTGAATATGGAATAAATTTGAATACAGAGGCGACGTGGAAATACTTGGTTTTGAATCAGTAAATTCCAATGAAATGGTAAACTCTTAATGAGAATAACTGCTCGAAATGGCGCGGAGAGGTTTCATTCATTGCACATGAGTTACCAACTGATTTTTTGTAAGGTGCTTGGGATAAATTGTTCCGTCTCGTTAATAAGTAAAGAGCATCTGGTCACTACAACGTAAAATGGAATAAAAAAGGGTTCAGTAGATAATGAAATCACACCACTGTGAACACTGGTTAAAATAGCCGCGATTAGCGTCTCTCTCGACAACGCTCAATGCATTTGCAGTAGAACATTGGGTTAAGGTCTAGATTGATGTTGGGCGGGGGG